GTTAAAAAAGAGAGATAAACATACTCTTGTTATGATCGTGATGATATTTCTCTCACAATAACTAATGTTTGTTTATTTACATTTAAGGAAAATATACAAAACCAGAAATATTCTGAATATCTCTTTAGAATCTGAACTAAATATCTTATTTATATGTCATGATTTCTGTGGCACTCCAATAATAAGACTGGATAGCTTATATACATAAAACGACAAAACATCAGAATGTTAAAATCATTAAATGAATCATCATCCTGGTCCCTTGGAGTGAGCAATCCTGAAAGTCACTAGTATCCAAACATCAAAAACTTTATAATGATCAACACTTTGAATTGCACTTGGAAACTTACAGGTACCCAGTGGAGTGGCCAAAAAAGCAGTGTTACTTTGCTGAATCGGTTTTTTGGCCTATCAGCAATTTGCTCCCAATTAAAGTTCCTCCAAATAGTCTTCAAAGACAATATAAGATGCTGATAGTTCAGCCACAAGGGAATGAGGGCATGAGTGACTCATCTAGCACAGCAGCCAAAATTGGGCACAATCTCTGCTGTATGCAGCTTCCAGGAGAATCCATATATGCAAAAGGATCCGTAGACAGAGATTTTTTGGGGAGGTGGGAGAAAGGACAAGTGACAAAATGTGTGTCACGACTTGAATTCCTTCCCTTGCATATTTTCATGTAACACTGCAGAACAAATTTGGAAAAGTAGAGCCTATACCACAAAGCATAGAACACTGGAATGGATCCCTTTGTTCCCAGATCATAGACCTCCTCTTTTAGGGATAGCACAGAGATCCACAGCCAAAATTGGAGCCACGCGGTTTTTGAGTGATCAGTCATTCCCTCTTGCTGTGTGAACGTGTTTGACAGCTTCCAGACACTGGGTTAGGGCAACCACTACATATTCTGCTTGGCCCAGGGCAGGGATGTACAATATAATTGGGAATTGTCAGCCTACTGATGATTTCTGATTCTGGATTGATATATGATCTCTTCTAATGATTTTATTAAGATACTAAATAAGGGAGAGGACCAAGCCCTGAGTTTTGCATATTGTACTGGCCAAGATCTTGATTTCTCTTCTCCATCACTACTGATTTGAACTGCTTCATTAGGAAGGAAAATAACCTCTAATAAAATATTATTTCTGAGTTCCAGCCCTCAGACACAGTCCCCAAAAACATGATCATCTAGTAGGATCAAAATAACTGCTATTCTTTAATCTAGATCCTATTGCAGATCACCCATAAGTATTATAAAACAGATTTTGCCCCACACCAAATCCTGAAACTGGAGTGATGAGGATTCAGATATAGCACTTCTTCCAAGATCCTCTGCAACTGAGACCTGATCACTTTTTGAAGATGAAACATAAATTGTGCTATATTGCCAGATATGGGGGGCACTTCAGAGGGAGATATGTCACCTTCTCCTTCAAGATACCTGATATTACTGTCTCCTTCATAGAGGCATTACTAATCCAGCTTGCCAGCCTCTTCTTTGGCAGGTCAAAAAAGCTACAAAGGGCAGGGGTCCAGTCCATAAGTCTCAGAGCTCATAAAACAGAAGACTGCTTTTCTTCAGTATTCATAAAATCAAATGAATCGGAGATGATCTTGCGGACATTCTTCCAGTCACCTCATCAAGCCCTCAGTAAGTATGAGCAATTTAATCTTTGACTCTTTGTAAATTTTATTTGACTCTTTCTAAACTAAAGTTAGCAAGAATTGAAGCCAGGTGCTTTTACATGCAGGGTACATACATTGTCTAGCAACTTCTTGCTAGTAACTCTGCAAGAAAATAACCAAGTTCAGAGAGTACCAAGGATCTGCCATTCTATCTTTTTTTAATTATTATAGTGCCATTCTGGTTGTTTTTTTTTAAATGGACATGTTTTATATGGTATCTTTTAATATGGTATTTTTTTCTATGTAAATACCAAGAGATTATATTCAGAATAAATATGGGACTAAAAAGTTTCATTTGGGTTATGAATAAACTCTAGAGTATTGTTATTATTAATAGTTTATTTTAGTGGAATTTTTGTTAGTTTTAATTATTGATATTATTATTATTATTTTTAATATTAGTATTGTATTGTTTAATATTTAGGTTATGAATATGTTTATTATTGTGTTTAATTTTAATTTGTTTAAATTTGTGTTAAAGGGGAGTTAAAGCGCATTATGGACTTGGTTATTTTAATAGTTGGTTAATGCTAGATAGATTTTGATTATTATATTTGTAACCCTGTGTTCA